AGAAAATGGATGTAAGATGAGGTGCTACAGAACTGCTGCGAATCCCAAACAGAGATGCAAGTGTTTAAATGACAAGATAGCAACTTTATACCCATTTATCAGGAAATAAAAATAGCAGTCTTGTAGCACCTAGAAAGTACAGTGGTGCCTCGCTTAGTGATTGCTTCATTTAACGATGTCTTAGCGATGTCACTTAGCGATGGGTTTTTTTGAGGAATTTTCCGCATCGTTTAACGATGTTCTCTAGGGGCGATTTTCACTTAACAATGTCCGTTTTCGCTCATTTAAAAGTGTCTTAACATGTTTGAAACCTGTTTTAAATGCTTGGGATCGTTAGTGCACCTTGTGAAACAGTTGCAAACTTAATTTGGCTTTGTTCTGAGTCTTCGTTAATTTTTGGTGAATTCCCCCCCCCATTCGAATGCATTACCCATACAAGAAACCCTGAATTCTAGAATAAAAACCAGAGGAGGAGAAAGATTTAGCCCTCTTCCTCATGCAGTGGTCCTAATTCAGAACAAAGGCAAACCACATGCACCACATACCCATGCACTTCAAACCCACAAACACACTAAGGCAGAGACCCGTCTACCCAAAAGGTGGACACCAAAACACAACAGGAGCAATACAGTATATGTGGTGCAATGCAAAGATGAGTGTTCAGAGCTCTACATTGGAGAACCCAAATAGCCACTAAGCAGGAGAATGACCCTGCACAGGAGGGGCAATGGCTCAGGACCACAATCAGCAGTGTTCCTTCACTTGAAGGAAAAAAAGGACACCCATTTGATTATCAAGATGATAGAGAAAGGGGCCAGGGAGACCATGCATGTACATATAGAAAATGCTGTGCTTTCATCCATCCCCCAGAAAGATCAGGACCATACCCATCAGAAAGACCACTGTTAACGACCCATGACAGAAGGACTGCAAAGTTGGGATTTTCACTCACCCATGAGCCTATTCAGAGCAAGGAGAAGTGAAACCAAGGTGGAGAATATATAGGGGTCTCCTACCAACTCTCCTCAGACTGAAGAAGCTACTTGAATGAGTAGCTGAAATGTTTCAACCTAATAAGAATTCCAGTTGCCATGAATCATCTTCCAGACAACTTCACCTGAATGACTGAGAATCTTCACAGATATATGAGCAAACTATGTGTACTCTAAGTAAAAAAAAAAAAAGCAAACTTAGATTACATGCCGTATATCTTATTGTGAAGGAGGTCCAGGAGAGAGTGTGCCGTCCCAAGAGGAAGAAGGAAAGGAGGGTTGGGGAAAACCTGAAAGTGCTAAAGAGCCGGTGGACCCAAGGGAGAACTTAACTTCAGAAGAGGGGAAAACGAAGCGAGGCGGGAAATTTGAAGTAAGCCTGGTAGAGGAGCACGGGGAACAGGATGGGGGAGGAACAGGAGCTGTCAGTCTGGGAGGAGGGTATAAGTAATCAAGGACAACGGTGGTTTGAGGTAGAGCTAGAATTGTGGAAACCGAAGAGAGAGCTGGAGAGATTAAGAGAGTATGAGAGAGTGAAGATGCAGGAACTGTTGCAAGATTTTCCAAATCTGAAGTTAGGCGGGCTACTACTGGAACCCACTCCAAAGGAAGGAAGAGAGATGAAGTACAAGACGTTAGAATGATCAATTAAATTTTTTCCCAAGAATAAAGGGAGAGGACGGCAGGTGATCCGACCAGATTCTCGATATAATACTCCTCCCCCCAAAGGAGGCTGGGCCCAGCATCCATGCTGCGGCACCATCTGTGCAGTACGGAGCACGCCCCTTCGGAAGCCAACCGATGCGGAGAAGTTTGGCCCAGCATCCCTGTGAGTTCGATGGATGGGGTACGGGACTTTGTGTTGGACAGCTATGGCACGTTGCCTGAGTTAAGTCTTTTTGATCCGATTATGAATAATGTAGATTTGCCTGTAACTAATAAAGAGGAAGTTATAAGAGTTAAGA